AAACATTATTAAGCAAGGAAGATTTAGGTAAGCCTGATTCCGAGCAACAATAAGTGCTCTGCTGTGCAAATCGGAGCGTTGAGCTTGATTTTTACCGTCCACCTCGTTCGTCAGCTACATAAGAAGCTGTTATATAACATACATTCAAACACAATGAAAAAAAGAAACACGAAAACTAGAAGAAAAGTGATGTAATATTCCAATCAAGTCAGAAGGCCCCGAAAAATTAAATAAAGCAACTAACTGACTAAACAATTATGCCCTTTTTGTTCCAGTATGGCTGTGATATTACAGCCATAAAAACAGGTTAAATAAACAACTTTATACTTACAGTAATCCTTTCTTTCGCATTGTTATCAGTAATCGGACGAATTGATCAATCAATCTGCCACTATCTTCTAGATCACAGTGATTTAAATAAAATTCATATAACTTAAAGCAATAAATATAATAAATAACGTATTTAAAAGATCATGATTTTTTTCTACTCTGGTTTAAACAGATTACAAAGCTTTCCTCTCTTTCCCGCATGTTATGAACACACATGGCCAGACGCTTAACAGAGGTTAGTCATCATATCATACTGCAGTGGGCACAGGGGCATTATGGCATTCGTGGGAACGACCAAAGTGCAAAAAAATCATAATTGTTTCTTATTACGAAATCAATAAGGTTTATTTGATTTAAATAATTTTTCTTTTATTTTACTCACATTAATTTTATTTAGATCACTGCAGCTAGAAAATAAGGATTCTTTACCACGGGCGTATATTTTTAACATGGCAGACTGACTGATCAATTTGTCCGATCACCGATACCAGTGCGTAAGAAATAATCACTGTAGATGTAAACTATAGTGTAATTAACAACATTTTATTACTGCGACCTCCGCCGCATTGGAACAAAAACAGATTAATTGTTCGGTTAGTGAAACACAAATGTTTGATTTATTTTAGTTCTGACTTGATTGCAAAAAAATATTACTTTTCCAGTTGTTGTTGTTGTCTTTTTGTTTTTTTTTCCAAGTTCTGTGGAAATGGGACTTAACGTAGCTGAAGAATGAAGGGGACGCTTGAACTCATGCTGAACGCTCTGATTTGCTCAGAAGAGCGCTCGGTTTCGAACGTGTTTAGCCGGATATAATGTTTTCTGCATTATTTTTTTATTATTTAAAGGCAAAACAAATGCACAAAGAAAGCGTAAAATGATAAAGAAATATTAAACGAGAAAAGTCTATTCGAAATATTTTTCCTTGGTAGGTTTGATGTAAACCATACTGGTAAAGCAAGTGTGATGTATATCACAATTTATATCGTAATATATAACCCAATTTAAATAGTGATTTAAATCACTATTCAGATTATATTAATTTCTCGTTCCCCACCCTGCTGCTGACAGGCTTCCTACACAAAAAAAAATTAAAAAATACAGCGCGAACTCACACGTACAAACAAAAAAGTACGATACTCTCTTGGCGGTAAACGGTAGATTTATGAAATATTGTTCTTGATCGAAAACCTAATGCAATCTGTTTGAGCCTTCCGTTGTTATTTTTTATTTTTCTTCGTAAACATGTTTCTTTTTATTTTACGGTGATACACCTTTTGCATCGTTGCCAGCTTTAATGAACTTAACGCATCTTTGAAAAAAAATCACCGGAGACGACGGACGAAGGGAACAAGCATGAGACGTTTTGTGTTTGTCTCTTTCTTCACCCGTCGTCCTTTTTTTTTTATTTGTAACAATAATTAGCTTGCCTGTTTACTTACCCTTTCTTCAATGAACTTGTCTAAACCTCTCTTCTTTACTTTCTATACTTCGTTTCAACTCAAGTCTAGACGTAGCCGACGCTACGAGGTAATTGGACCAATCAAGCGGCGTCCAAAGCACAAGTCACTAGGCCTTGCATGTTTATGATTGGTTCAGCGATGACGGAACATGTACAAAACCATAACGAACACCATGATGGTGCCCTTTTCCCGCTGTCTGATCCGTTCCATCAGCTCGTAGCGTCAACTGCGTCTGGACTTAAGGCGACACGAAGTACAGGTCCTCCTCCCTGTTTCCAGCGGATGCAGACTTGTGAAGATCTGTCGATACGTCAATGAACCGACTCCGCCTCAATACGCAAAAACGTGCTCCTGTGACTCCGGGCAAAGGGCCTGCCCACGGTACGAGGATTTGAATCACGGTTGAAGTGCCCCCCAATCAACGTAGACCTATTGCAGAGAAGGCGCCGAGTAACCGACCTCTCGGATGAACGTCAAAAGATCCCCAGTGGCCGAAATTGATCCTCAGTCCCCCGCCGAGCGTGTGCCAGATGTCCTTCGTTGGTTTACCACGTAAATCCACTAATGGGCTCAAACGACTTAATGCTTGAAAGCGAAAACGGATATAGCATCAGAGCCGAGAGAAATAAAATGTCACTGCTACAGCAGGGCTGCCTCGCGGGCGGCACGTCGCTTCCATTGGCTGCCGTTGGTGACCATGTGACGATTGCGGCGCAACCAATAGCGTTCCTAGCATAGGTACGTAAAGCATTGCGCCGAGATTCACGTACCCAAATATGTAATCTAGGTACATTTTAAAAGTACAGTGCGTCTACTTTCCTGCAAATCCCTTAGGAGAGGTAATAGTAGCAATGGGGAGCTCGACGAATGGAAAACTTCAAATAAATGTTTCGACATAAAAAAAAAATTAAAATAGCCTGCGCTGTAATACGAACCAAGACGTAACTATGCGTGAAACATCGTGCGCGTGTTTTAACGGTATTTCTTAGAGTGTATAACGATTTTGTCATTTGTGACTCAAGTATAGCGTTAGAATTTGTTCATTTATTTTTAGGGAACGCCAGTGGCTGGAGCAGTGGCTAGGAACGATGGACAGTCGACCTTTCGCACTCCCCGAAGTGCCAGGACTAGGGCCGTCTCCAGCACTTCAAAAGAGAGCACAGCGTGCTTCTTGCGACTTGCTTATCAAAACTGATAACTCAAATAACTATTGACTGGATGCAATCAGAATTGTTTAGATAACCCCGGAAGAATATGCGTAAATATATGGTGCAGCTGCGCTCCATACTTTCGATCGGGTGTAATCTGTACGTGACATATAGTTGGACATACTATGTTTTATGTTATGTTATATTTATGTTATAGTTACACACAACCTTCGATTTTTTTTGGGTGTGTGTGTGTTTTGTTTTAAATAATATGGAGTGGCCGGCGCTGGTGAAGTCAGTGCCAACATATTCATCGATTTTTACATATTAGAGAAGGAAAGAAACAGAGAAAACGCTTAATTGTGAATTAGCAGTACACATCCGCTGTCTCGTTAATAAGAATTTATTGAAGTATTAAGAATGGCCCGCTACATAGACAATATTTTCGAAAACGAACTTGGTAAATACGTGCATGTTTGTGTCGTCGTTAAAAACGACTCACATTAGGAACGATTTAAGGGGGAAGGGGGGGGGGGGGTCCATATAAGCGGGACATTACGATATTGCGGAAGCTTAAACGAGTCGACTAAGTGTTTATTTTGTTCCACCGGTTGGCCGACCAAATTGAATCAAAAACAGCAAACATGTGAGCTGGTTTAAATTATACACATTACATAAAATGGAGATGAAGTGCAAAGAAACACGTCAAAATTCCGGTGTTTGTCGTTTGTGATTTGACCATCGCCAAATAGGATAACCGTTACCTATTGCTAGATAGCAAGTGCGGAGCAGAGCCCAGATGTTTACTAACCGTATCCTTTTCGTCCTATGCATACACGGATGATAAGCGTAACACACGGGAGTTGCTATTTGCACAGCATCAACCCGGCCGGGGGGAGGGGGGGGGGGTCACGTGGTGCTTTAGTGTCGTTGTTTCTCTGCGTCACGAATTTCTGTTTATTATACCGGGGGAGCGTGTTAACCCCCCCCCCCCCCCTTCCCACATACACGCACTCACACACTTCCTTCGGCTGCTCATTAAACGAATGTTAACCCACTTGACCCACCCGCTCCTCCGAGCCTACCCACTCGCCGAGAGATCAGCTTGACGATCCAGGAACCCAAATAACGCCAACCGACAAAACGCTAGGAAAAGGAAGGTCGCGTGGCCCTCACCGGCAGAGATGCGTGACGTAGACAGATGACGTCACTAGAATGTCACGTGACCCCCCCCCCCCCCCCCCCCCCCCGGGCTGCTTGTGTTGGCGATGAGTAAAATATCGCGTCTTCAGGGTTTATTTATCGTGAAATTTGGAGACTGTTTTTTGGGGTTCATTTCTTGCCGAATATACGGAGTTATTATATTCCCAATTTTCCGAAATAAAAGATGTTGATTTTTATGTTTCCATACTTTTAAAGACTGAAAATTAAAATATCTATTAATCGGCGTGTGTAAGCCTGCCCTGGATTTCTAAGAAGGGCACGTGTACCACATGACATTGTCGCCCTGGTCATTAGTAATAGTAACTGTCCCAAGACAAAACTTAAAAAAGACACATTAAAATCACTAAACTCCTTGACGTAGTCGTTGGAAAGCTTGATTTTTTTTTTATTCTATTTTACCGCTTTTCTATGGTGCAGCGCGGGGTGGAATGGTGAGATAGAAACCTCAGCTGTCCCTCGTATGAAATCTTAAAGTTCATAGCTTTCAAGGTTATCAAATAGCGGCCCTACCTTCCTCTAAGAGGTGAAACCCGGAAATCAAAACAGTGGTTTGTGTCGTGACCCAGGAAACATGCAGCACTGCCGAGCTGTGTTTGAGCCCTTTGTTTATGTCGTCTCTCGTTTTTGCTCCTCGGTCTGGAGTGCCCATGATGTTGAAGAATCGAAAGTTATGCCCAGCTGGAGCGAGCATCGGCGGCATCGCCGTGAGTGCCGCGTCCTTGCTGGCCGTGCCCTCCACCCATCGGCGGCGCTCCTTGTTGGGAACAGGGCCGGTTCGTCGCCTACGTGACCACGTGACACGGCGCCCCGTAGAAAAAGCGCGCCGCGGTCGCCCCGACTTCCACTTACGTTCGTGCGAGCACCTTGGAAGTTCGGCACGAAGTGTAGGCTCAAGCCCAAGCAGCATCATGGTGAGTGTTGGATAGCTTTTCCAATTATAATGATTTAAAGCTTTGATTTGCGATGGTTACGTATGAAGTGTGCTTCGATCTTTGGGTTTGTCAGCTGCAATTATTTTGAATGTATACCTGCACCATTTTGTCTATTTTATGAAGCTTTATTGCTTATTTCAGTGATGAGAAGAGAGCATATCGGTGCACACAATAAACTATAAGAATATATTGGCAGATCGGATTTGCCACGTAAAGTCGGTACCGAGTTTGTGGCCCGTGCAGGTTTCACCACGGTTCTACTAAACCACTCTTTCTAGAAAAAGTGCATAACGTTTAGGCGCAGTGCTGAACGACATGAGTGAAACGTTTATTTTACCGTTGTCTCCTGAAATTGTATCTTTCTGAGGAGAAAATATCCCCATATCTTTCAACACAATTATTTTGTTCGGTATGCGTTTCTGTAAGAAGATTTATTATGAACTATAAAAATATATTTGAGCAGATCCAGCATTATCGATACGTCTAAAAAAAACTTATAGCACGCTAGTATCCCTAGGACCACGATTGTTTTAAGCTGACCCGATACGCTGTACTAAGGGTACTAGGGATACAAGACTGAGCACTGCAACTATAATACCAATAATAGAGTTGCGGCATGCTATAAGAAGTCGTATATCTGGCAACATAGGCAGATTTATATCCTAATGGTTTCGAAGGGCGTACAGAGTCTCAATTCTTAATATTACGCGGTTTAGCTTCAGTTTCGAATAAACCATGAATGTCCGTCATATAATATAGCTTTTGTACTTTGCGTTCTTATGGCAATCGGACCAACAATTTTCGGCATTCGTTTCTGGGAGTATGTAGTTTTTCTTTATCTCGTGCGGATTAATAAGTGTGTTCATAGTTACTCTTAAATGACGTCGCTGCTGTTTCAACTACCCATCACATGACAAGATGTTGAACGCGAAATCGGCTATCTCTTTGCCGAGTGTTTTTATCTACCAATGTCAAGGAGCGACGCATCGTAATTTAGGTCATTTCACCTGATTTAGCGTGCAGTATTGCCACAGAAACATTGTGAAGCTTATGAGCGCCAGTGAGTATGTCACAAAAGTGGCGCATGTATCTGGCGTACGCTGTAGAAACCGATAGCTGCATTTCAACGCGTTTGACCACTCGTTATCTCAAGAGTCTCGATAAAATTCAAGCGTGCAGAGAACACGACTTCGAGGAAATGAGTCCGTCCCGTGATTGCGGAGCGCTCTCTGATATTAGACGATGTCTAAATCACTCTCGGCTACTAGACTGCCGGTTTATCTGGCTCAGCGATCCGACCTGTCTCTCTCTCTCTTTCTCTCCCCCCTTCCCCTCCTCTTCTTTGGACGATAGAATAGAGCTCCTTCGCAAATGTTGTACGCTCGCGCAAAGGCGGTAGGATTGGGGAGCACTGTACTTAAGTACTGATCTAGTAAAATAAAAAAATAAAAAAAACTGGAGGGAAGAAAATCTGCATCTTGAAAGAAGCCAACCATTTGAGACTATTATATTTTAGCTCGAGTTGGCACCCTTCAACGCAAAAAAGATATCATAGAAGCGCTGTGTTTCATATTTCCCCCACTGGGAGTTGTGAAACAAGGATGACCTACTGCGATTTTTGTTTTAAAATAGTAAATTGCCGAAACGACTCCCACTGCCCGCTCGTTCAGTTCAACAGTACTATACAGTTATATATCGTTAACATAGATATCCGCTATACAGACGAACATTTGGGAGGCAAGTAAGTAAGTACATAACATTTTTTTGTCTCATTATTACGTACAGCTCACATTATGAACGACTTCCTGTGGAGACGAACGTGTATCAGGGAGTTTTAGCACATATACCGTTCGATGACTCTGATAATGATACCCGAGACTCCACCGACGCCTTTTCCCACGCATCCTATTGTTATTGGGTATTGCTATCGGAGGTATCGGAACAATCTACTAAAAGTATCTATTAACGAAACACGATGACGGTAGCTTGGCCAGGTGTTATCGAGTGCAAAAGGCTCAGCGGGGGCAGCGAGCGGCAATCCCATTAGCAAACCGGTTCGATGCACGTGGTACTCTACACTTGCCCATAATTGGCCACGCGTGTTGTGTAGCACGACGCTTGCGCCAGCTCCGTGCTGTACGTGGGCGCACCGGTCGCCCCCGGCTGCGCGGCAATAGAACGGTTCATCCTTGCCGTCGCTCGCCTCCGCCTTTGCCGCGGCGTAGACAGTAACGTCTACGGCGCGGAAACCTGTACCGCTTATGCAAATACACCATTTTCCGTCGAGTCTCAGTGTAAACGATACCTAACGCGTTTTGCGTGGGTGTGTGGCCTTCAGACAGGCGGCAGTGGGTTCCTGGAGGACGCTTCGAAAGCGTTCTCTGACCGAAGCCGTCTGCGGTGTTCCGCGTGCTCGTAGGCGAGCTCGCGCGTGACACACTTCCGTGTGTGGCTTTGATCGGAGAAGAACCCAGTGTTTCGATAAGATTTAAAGGTAAGCTATGAGGTTCTTGAAAAAAGAAACGAGTAAGAGGTGAATTGAAGCGTATTTTTGTCCTTCATACTTTGAATATTACAAGCATTTGACGAAAGTACCGATAGAGTATCAACATCCTCAAAGTTCCCCTTTATAGGTGCATTGAAAAACAGCGTATAAGGTTGCACAAAAAAAATTGGAGGCAATATTATCAACATTGCTATTCCCAGAATCAATTTTTTATTTAGACTGAACATACGCTGAAGTTAATCTGAAAGAAGATAACTACCGTCTTTTATTTATTTATTTCTTTTTTTTGACGTCCGAGTTAGTGTAAATGTTGCTTCCCTCCGCCGTCGAAATGTTTATGCCAGTAGTGAAGCGAAACCTAAAAGGGATTCGTTTTTTTCCCCCAGAGGGAATGTATTAGCATCCACATCGGTCAGGCCGGAGTCCAAATCGGCAACTCCTGCTGGGAGCTCTACTGTCTGGAGCACGGCATCCAGCAGGATGGGCAGATGCCGAGCGACAAGGTCTCCGGGGGCGTCGATGATTCCTTCAACACTTTCTTCGCTGAGACCGGCGCCGGCAAGCACGTGCCCCGTGCTGTGTTCGTCGACCTCGAGCCGACCGTCGTCGACGAGGTTCGCCAGGGGGCCTACAGGCAGCTCTACCACCCGGAGCAACTCATCTCCGGTTCGTCAATTTTGTGATGACCAGCTATTTTCTTGTTTGAAATGAAGGCATCTTAGAGCCTGGTATTTAGTCAATGTGCATGTGGGGAATACAAGAAACAAACTGAATGATACTATAATGTTTCTAAATGTGAATGTGTAATCAGGAATAGTATAGCACTACTATTTTCCCCCTTTTTTTTGTGTGTGTTTGTGTGTGTATGGGGTGGGGGAGTGGTTTTTTTTTTTTGTCCGGACTGTTGACTTCGACGTACTTAATTTTCAGACTGCTGAATACATTTTGTGCAATTGATTCTGTTAGACATTAATGTGACCCCTTTTAGCGACTGTTTCTAGTTTTCAGATGAGATGAGGGAACGCTTTTTATAGTGCCCACCGTTTGGCCCATCTCGAAACCTTTTCCCCACTTTATGACGCAGCCCGTCTTCTAATTATCCACTTTCCCCGAGTGCCTACTATTATTGTATTATTGCAGGAAAGAAGGCTTACTGATAAATAATGTTAACTTACTCTTACCTGGGTTGATCGTACACTGACCAGGCACTTCGGCCTTTCCGTGATTTTTGCTTATTCTCAGTCTCGGGCGAAGGGAGATCGGTGCAGTTCGGAGCACGTGGAACGAAAGCGCGTGCTGCAGAGCTCAAGAATCCTGAGTTCAATCTCTCCCCCCCCCCCCCCCCCCCCCATCGATCTGGATGAGCATCATACCGACGCGCAGTCTTTTATCAATAGCAATGCACTTTAAGTACGTTGTGCTTAAGTACTACTTCAAGTAGGTTTAGAAAACTTGTACTTTACTTCAAGTACATTCTCTGAGTATGTACTTGTACTTTACTTAGAATATTTTTTTTCTGCTACTTTCCGAGGAAAGTACAACTCCTGGCTTCAAAGCACATCCCCAAAATTTGGTGTTGTTAAATTTGTATCACAACATAATGCCTTGTCAACCCTGAAGAAAAACTGGGAGTGTTGTTTTACTCTCACTTGAAGCGTAAGCAAATACGACGCATCGCTCCGTTTGTTCTGGGACGTCTTTCCCGTAGCTTTTTGAACCCTCGTTACTTCCCGCTCGGTGAGCGCAAGAGATGAGGTTAAAAATATTAGAAGTAAATTAATAATAATATAAAATTTGCTACTGTAGTGCGGAAAAAGTAAACTTTCAGGTTGAAGAAAAAGAAAACAGAGGAGGACGTCGCAATGTTTTTAAATATTGTCTTTTTTTCTTTTTTGTTGACTTGAAGTTCCTTAATTTTTTCGCATCACAATTCCAGGTGTCACATTATGTTTAATTATCACCAGCTCGCCTGCGAACTCAATGTTCTTTCATTCAAAAAAGGACGCTCCTCTACGAAAGGATTGCTTGCGGAAGCGCGGGGCTGACGGTGTGCTCTCTCCTAGTACATTTAACCCCCCAGTAGTTGTAAGGTTGTTGTCCCGGACCTCGGTGGGAACCCTGGAGGTGTCTACCGTCGAGGGCCGGGGGACCGTGGAACGATGCTGGTTGCTGGAGAGCTGGCTGTAGGCGGCGAGGACTCGGGACAGGGACGACCAAGACCGCTTAGTGTTCGATTAAAACACAAAACTTTACTTGAACAGTGCACGATACAATCAAACAACTGGGAATAACTGGCCTCACAGGCTTACGATCGCGAGACACGAAGTCAAGTGTCCTACCGCGCACAGTGAGGGCGATGGCTAAGTAGCCGGCGAACAAGGGCTGCCGCGTGCGGCAGGTAACGCGGCGGACCGCGGGAGGAGAACAGCCAGGGGCTCGCAACCCGTTCCAACTCCAGGCTCACACGCTCGGTCAGGGCTTAAGACAGTGCGCCGAAAACCGCTCTGTCCAATGAGGGCTTCGTCTGCACCCCATTGAGTCGAGGCCCCGACGCACTCTCGACCTATCGCACGAGAGTTCGTTGCTGTCGCCGAGGTGGTCATTAAGATCGGGCCCTGCGGTTGAGAGTCTAAACCCTGGTATGTTTATGTTCCGAGGAAGATCTACTGGTTCTCGGTTTAGGCGAGAATCGTCGAAACGTGCCCCGCCAGCAAACGTCCTTTCCCCCGGAGCGCGGGCAGGAGCCTCAGCGTAAACGGAAAGCGCGCCTGGGAAGCCGTCTCGTGGATATTCCCACGATGCCGGGTCCACGCCGGCGTGTATACACCAGTTGCACCCGGTGCCTCTCGAGTCGAAGTCACGAAACACTGGAACATGACCCGAAGTCTTCGAGGAAGTCGTTCGAGCTTGAGACGCGGCCCAGTTTACGAAATGGCGCGCCAGCCGATGATAGCCGCACTCCGGTGCCTGCCCCGAACGCCCGCGTAGGTTTGTGTGTCTGGAGCCCCGGGTAAGAGGCAACGCCCGCGGACAACGACCCCCCGTGGGGGATATACAACTCCGTTCGTAGTAGACGGAACAAAGTAAGACACATGCAAGCGCTAAAGCAAAACGAATGACCGAGGCTCAGCGCAACATACCGATAAGCTAAAACTAAACGCCGTCTTGGCGGCGCGCGAAATTTGCCACCGCCTCTACACCCCCTGTGTGCAACAAGCCAGTGCAAGCGGCGCCAAATTCAGAAGTCGGAGGGACTTCTGAATTTTGCACCATTTCTGTGGTCACTTGACCTTATCCAAGATTTTCTCCGTTTCCCAAAATAGGTCATGCGCTCGCATTGCGCTTGGGGCAACGCATACCACTTAAAAAATCACTGTATAGGGGAATGAAATGACATCATGAAAGATTGTGTTAAAATACTTGTACTTTAACTTAAAAGTACTTTTTTTATAGTGCATTAGTTCAAGTACTTTGCACTCAGTGTACTTGCTATTTTACTTGAAGCACATCGACTCTCAATTACTTTGTGTCTTACTTAAAGTATTTTTAGATGTACTTTACCCAACACTGATCACTAGCAATTTTAAATAAAGGTAACGCGTCACCAGTAACGCGTTACGTGTAACTAGTCACATTTCGGGGAAGTAACGGCTTAGTAACTCTTCGAGAGAAGAAATGATTAACACCTTTTGTTAAAGATTAAAACAGCGCAAGGACACGGACAACAAGAAGGTAGACAAACAAGGCGCTGCCTTGTTTGTCTACCTTCTTGTTCTTGTCCGTGTCCTTGCGCTGTTTTAATCTTTAATCATGAAATACCAACTAGCCGAAACTTCTACTTTAACCTTTTGTTACTTTTTGATAGAGTAACGAGTAACGCTATTTAGTTAAGTTTGGTTTTCACCCAAGGGAGAACATTAGATCTAAGGACCTTACAGTGCTAAAACATAAATAGTTTATTACCTCTGTAATCGGCTAGTGCATCAAAGCCTCAACATGATTTTTTTTTGTCACGACTGTTTCTACGCACATGCATAACGGATACCTACAAACCGCAGCACCACTAAACCTAGTTGACTCTTCCAATCAACATATTTTAGTATGTCCACGTCTAAAGACTGAAAGGCGGATAAAGAAAAACGAAACATTCAGAGTACCGTAAAAGCGTGCCTTTTACGCTCTACGGACTCGTTCCTCTTGAATATCGGTAACGAGCAACGTACTTAGTTACTTTCTGAGCGTGTGACGACTAACGGTATTCAGTTATTTTTTTGTTAGTAACGTGTACATATCTGGTCACTAGCGCGTGGTGAACGTTAATGGTCCAAGGCAATTGCAGTGATATTGCACCGACAAAATTTGTCATCTACAGCTGCAGCACCAGACGCCCCTTGGGCCTGAGTAACTGTCTGAGCGTAAACACAACACAGTCTTAGTTTCAAGTGCATCCCTCGAGAGATGCGCTGTTGGACCTCCAGCTCAAGGCGTACGCCATCTGTCCGCAGGCAAAGAAGATGCGGCCAACAACTACGCTCGTGGTCACTACACGATCGGCAAGGAGATCGTGGACCTGGTCTTGGACCGCATACGCAAGCTGGCCGACGCCTGCACGGGCCTGCAGGGCTTCCTCATCTTCCACAGCTTCGGTGGAGGCACAGGATCTGGCTTCACTTCCCTCCTCATGGAACGTCTCTCCGTGGACTACGGCAAGAAGTCCAAGCTGGAGTTCTCCATTTACCCCGCACCCCAGGTACCGCCAGCTCCCACGAACCTTCGATCAAATGCTTCATGTTTGAATTTTGCTAGAACTTCTATACTCGTTTTCACCCCAAGAATCATAGTAAAGTCCAGCTCCTCGAGGAACATTATAAATTTCCCATTTTATGCAGATAATTGAGGTATGTGTCGATGCATTTCAAGATTGTATATATGTTATCTTATCAAGACGTGCACGTTTCAAACGCCAAAAGCATCGCTTCTTTCTCCGTCAACCAAACCTAAGTACTTCACACAGCTTTTATTTATTTATTTATACATACTGCCGGGTGCCATTTGGCAGCCGGCAGTATGTATATTAACAATAGTATGTATAGTCAACAATGTATGTATAATCAACAATGAGCTGAGAAAAAGTATAAGATGTGTAAACCAAAGAAAGGTAGTTTAACCTTTTTTTTTGTGTGTGTGTGTGTGTTTTGTTTAAGACAGATTTTCCATAAAAAAATATGGCAGACAAGGTGTTTTATTTCGTGGTTCCATTTTTTTAAAAGGAGCTTTTGTTAGGCTTCTTTAGCAATGGCGTTGAGGGGGGGGGGGGGGGGGGGGTAATTGGGGTCACTAGAAGAAAAAAAACTTAATGTTGCTAATTTGTTAGCTAATTAACTTAAATATATAATTACCGTCTTAAAGTTTTATTTTTGGGGGAAAATTTAGTAATAAGAATAGCTAGACCTCATTTTGGTCTAACCATGACGTGAAACATTGAAGGAAAAAATCGTAGTGGGAGCTACGGAGCGAGAAATGTCATCCTCGTACGCGGCTTCAAACTGAAACTACGCAGACAAAGAGCGCTTATGACGTCGATCCCTCCGTCCTGTGTTTGCGTCGTACTGCTTATATCACCTATGGCGCGGACACGTGAGTTGCGCCGCCGGCGCAGGGGCGCTGGAATCGACGTCATGGGTAGTCTTTGCTCGCTTTTCCCCAGTAAATATAAGATATTCAAATTTCATCCATCACTGCAGGTTCTCGCACAACATTGTTGCCTTTTGCCGATTCTTCGCGCTTAAAATTGGTGCGCATCGTTCCGGCTTTCAGGTCTCCACGGCCGTGGTGGAGCCGTACAACTCCATCCTGACCACGCACACCACCCTGGAGCACTCGGACTGCGCCTTCATGGTGGACAACGAGGCCATCTACGACATCTGCCGCCGCAACCTGGACATCGACCGCCCCAGCTACACAAACTTGAACCGACTCATCAGCCAGATCGTGTCCTCCATCACTGCCTCCCTCCGCTTTGATGGAGCACTCAACGTTGATCTCACCGAGTTCCAGACCAACTTGGTGCCTTACCCCAGGTTCGTTGTATACGCTTCCGTATACCGCTGTAGTTTGTCTTCTTATCGCATATTTTCTTCTGTATAAAGGCTGAACTCCATGGAACGAATTATGTGACGAATAACTGGCGAACGCCGCCCGACGGCACGCTCGCTTTGCGCGCGACGTATAGTAGCCACTGTGTTGAGTCCACGCGCAGAGCAAGTGCCGCCGGGCAACATTCGGCGGTTATTCGCAGCATATTCGTCCCATGGAGTTCAGCCTTATGTCTCAATGCCGTATAAGTCACCTCACCCCCCCCTTTCCCCCGTACAAGTGGCCGTTTTCACACACAATCCAAAAAGTTGGTATATAAGAAGTCGCACCTTTGTCGAAGTCTCACGTAGTATAACGGAGTGCTGCGAAAGATGGCGCGCAGATTCAGCCGCGGGTAGAGTTCCTGTATAGAACTCATAACTTCCCCCTTCGGGGGACCATATCGAGGAACTCTAGCCGCGGGCCGCCACGCTTGGGACACTCTTCGGACCGTCTCAAGAGCAGGGCATCCGCGGGCACTCTCACCTTTCTTTTTCGTCGTAAATGTAGATATGGCCTACATCTTGCAGAGTTTAGGTCCATACTTAGAAGAAAAAATGCACTCAGGTCACACTGTTGTAAAAAATGCATCAACAAAATTAAAAAAAGAAAACTAAGTACCGAGATTTATACTATTTTTTAGACCACCTGAGACTGGGTGGAAGAAACACGACGACGTCTCAAACACAGCTAAAACGCGACGATGTCTCAAACACAGCGTCTTCAGACGGCCCGATTTGTACATTGGAAAACGCTATGGTTTTCTTGAGTCATTTACCTCGATCTCTTTGCTAGTTCTAACGACGAATTCTGATCGTTTGCTTTTCTAAATGCTTTGTTTTCTATGCGCCGGAAAACGGGATGGTGCTTTAGATTTCGTCTCTGATCGCAATCCGTATAATCATTGCGATCAGAGACGTTAAATAAGACATGGCCTATTTAAGTATTCACATAAAATAGGCCATGTCTCAGGATACTGTCAGAGTATCACTTGTTGTACTCTCAACATAAGTAATTACACGGCACTACGATCGATGCCTCGACAAAGAACGACCGCAAAAGCATTTTCTAAGTAGATGGAACAAAGATTTTTTCCAGGTATTCCCGCGTAATTAATTTACCTAACGATGGTGCTTCAGCCGTTTTTTTTTTCGGTTCGGATGTGGCCAACGATACAGTAAGCGGGGCTTATGATTAAACTTATGGCCATTAATTTACAACTGCACTTCAAGTTACGTTTGTTAGGTTTCCCATGTTTATATACAGTCGAATAACCGGCCATCTGGACAAAGTTTTCGGGAACTAATTAGTCAATTACATGTAATTTTGTTTCGTTATTATGGACACTTTTTGGGAGAAACAATTGTGCCCATATTTACGAAACATCCCTCTATATATATTAAAAAAAAAAAAATCATTTCAACCTTCACGTTTTCCTTGTTTTTATTGCAGAATTCACTTCCCGCTGGTGACCTACGCCCCGGTGATTTCGGCAGAGAAGGCGTACCACGAGCAGATCACGGTCGCGGAGATCACCAACGCCTGCTTCGAGCCGGCCAACCAGATGGTGAAGTGCGACCCCCGCCACGGGAAGTACATGGCCTGCTGCATGCTCTACCGCGGTGACGTGGTCCCCAAGGACGTCAACGCGGCCATCGCGGCCATCAAGACCAAGCGCACCATCCAGTTCGTGGACTGGTGTCCCACCGGCTTCAAGGTACGGGCGCCACACGTTTCCTCTCTAAATACAACCTCCAACTTTAAGAGGTCGGTCAAAAGTCGCCATCTTCGAACCGGCGATTGGATAGAATGACAAGGGCGATTAATATTTCCCTGTTACGGCTTTCGTTCGCCCTCTCTTTCGCTCTTACCTGATGTCAGTAATTCGGGGCCATACTCTCCTAGTGATTTAGTGGATTATTAAAATTGATTGAATTATGCTGATTTCCAGAACCCAGAGGTGCTGGGATTCACCCTTGCCTCTAGTGGTATCGATATTCACTGCGGCACACGTATCGATATTCACTGCGACCACTGCTGAAGAAGGGATCACCATGCATCACGATGATGCACGGTGGCGACGTCTTGTAACTGAAGGAGAGATGGATTTCTCGACAATCAGTACTGTGCTGATTGCCAGAGCCCAGGGATTCTGGGTTTCACCCTTGCCTCTAGTCGATATGCACTGGTATTGTAGCGGCACATTGTCGTACAATCACTGCAGCTCCAGTAGTGACCACCGTGCATCATGATGATGCACGGTGGAGACGCCTCATCACTGAGTGAGCAATGTTTTTGGCTCTCGTGAGGCGAATGGTAAAAACAATCAATGCTTTCTCGTTTTTTTTTTTTAGTTTTTTTTTTAAATATATTGTCGTACTGTTAGCGGAGACATGAGACTATAATTTAAAGGAGCCCTGAGGAGGTTTATCAGATCGCCTAAATACGGCGATAACTCACTCTGCTGGCTTAAGCATGTTGTAAATCCATAAATCCTAACGATGCGCGGCCGATTTCCCTATTAAAAAAAGCAATCAAAGATGGAACACACCGAGGTCATTTCCGGCGATGGGAGGACCATTGTTTTGACAGCCAGGACGAGATGTTACCAACGAAAGCGCAACATTTCGTTTAGATTGCAAACCCCGTCATTACAAAATGTGTATGATTTTGTAGATGATAAGAACAATTAAGAGTAGTCGAAAAATGTTATTTGTCGCGAAGAATGATATGTTCCCTCTCCGCGGTACTGCGATAATCGTCTCAAAAACAGCACATATATGTTGTTTTGTTTTGTTTTTGTCTTCCGCGGAATTGATGTCTCCGGTCGTCAGCTCTCGAGCGCGCGCTCGCTGGCGGGATGTATGGGCAACGAGCCGCACGCATTCGGGATATCACCCCACGGTTCCACCGGTCGGAGGCGCGAAGATCCTTCGCTTGCTATTGGCTGACAGTGGTCCTGGTTTTGGAACATGCTTCTTTCAAACGCCGGAGATGACCTCGGTGTGTTGCGATCTTTGATTTTTTAATAGGAAAATCAGCCGCGTATCGCCATGAATTAAGGGATCTCTAGGATGCTTAGAGCCAGCAGAGTGAGTTATCGCCACATTTAGGCAATCTCAGAAAACTCGTCAGGGCGCCTTTAGGGCAAACCAATCTTACCGCTGTCTAGAACTCCATACAACAAAGTTGGTCTTTGGACGCCTCCGTTCCGGTGCTATGCTTTCCGAACCTAATCTGACCTTGCCGATGGTGCTTTTCTTGCAGGTCGGCATCAACTACCAGCCCCCGACCGTCGTTCCTGGCGGAGACCTGGCAAAGGTTCCCCGTGCCGTGTGTATGTTGTCCAACACAACAGCCATCGCCGAAGCTTGGGCTCGGCTCGATCACAAGTTCGATCTGATGTACGCCAAGCGCGCCTTCGTGCACTGGTACGTTGGCGAGGGTATGGAGGAAGGAGAGTTTTCTGAGGCCCGGGAGGACATGGCCGCCCTCGAGAAGGACTACGAGGAGGTTGGCATGGACTCCAACGAGGGAGTCGACGACGGCGAGGAATACTGAGCCGATCCCCGCCAACTTCCTTTCGGGGTGCAATAAATTGATCGCTCTTGTACGTACGGGTGTTTTGTGTGCATTGTACTCAGTATATCCGAAACGTGATTTGAATGCGTAATTATAATTCTCTAAAGAGAGGGCTGTATGTCCTCATTGTTCAACAGTGCTCATAAAAGCGCCTCACGGCCAATAAAAAATATAAGCACCAGTTATTCCTTTCATAAAGATCCTGCATCGTAGCGACATCAAGCAAGACCTATTTTTATTCATATTCTTATTCCATGCACAGTTCACAAAGTTCAATCTAAAATTATTTTAGGAGCTCTGAACGCATCTACAAAAGAAGCTACTTATTCATAGACCTTTCACGAATGTAGTGCCATCTAGTGGCTGAACTATCAGTCCAAAGTGTTGTATGCTCACGGCGCATAAAATCTGGTACTTATCAACGGTACTTATTCATCAACGGTAGACGTAAAAAAAGTTACGGTGTTTTTCGATGAACAGTTATTTCTCTATTTGCTTCAGTTTCGATGTTGTCAAGAAACTACCACTCTGCACAAGGCGCTTGTAGTCAGTGAACCTCTTGATAAAATTAACATTTAATTGTCATGAGTTGGCTGGGGCGTGCCGAAGCCGAGCATACCAAGAACTTACATGACAGCCTAAAATGAGTAGCGCATAGAAGCTAGTCTCGTCACTGTGACATCGAACAAAACAGCTAACTAACGTCTGGATGCTGAGGCTCCGCATAGGTTTCTGTCTTAAAATTCTTCCTTTACTAGCCATCGAAAGGCCGCCATTCACATGTACAGGTCATGCAGACTAAAAGGGCCCAAGAAACGAATTTAGGGCTGGGATAAACGAATTTAGATTTGAATTTTACGAATAACATATCGTTTAGTGGGCCAAAATAAAGAATGTAGAACGTCAAAAGCCTAATTTTCGATACGAAAATTTGAGAACACGGCGGTCTATTTTGTACCTCCTTCCCTTCGAAAGTTCTCTGCCTTTTTACTGCGATACATCCGCGGTACCCCAAGTGCGTCATCCGGTCAAAATGCACGTCACACGACACCGGATCTCACTTGATCTCTTCACCCCTAAACTGACAGTGCGGTGCAAGCTACGTGCTTGCCGGACCAATTAGACGCCTCGGTTTCATCACCTGCCCTCATTCTCTGCGGGTGGGTTTGTGCGAGGGAGCGTTATCACGCGGAAAAAGTATGGCTGGTCCAACGAGCACGTAGCTTCCACAGCACTGTCAGCTTAGGAGTGAACGGGGTGGGGAAAGCAACTTTTGTCCGAGTTTTCAGCGACGGGCTAATCTTCTAGGGGGCGAATGGGTGTGTCCGGCTACACAAACGAGGGTCCGAGTAAAAGGGGAGTCTCTCCTTTCCGTCCTCTTGAACTGTTTGGTACAATGAACAATTTGTAAGTTGAGGAGGAAAGCTCAGAAGGAAAAAGTTGAAAAAGCGTTTTATGACAAGTGACAAAAACGGGCGCTGGGCGGCAGTTTCCATAGCAACTTGCGCGGACGTTGTGACGTGCCGGCTTGGCATAGGACCACGCCACAGCGTCCTGGGCTGTTGCTATGAGAATCACCACACGGCGGCCGTTTATGTCGCTCATGTGTTTCCTGCTTTAGGTGGTGATAGCTATCTAAGTGGACAGACTGCATTTCGGAAAGGGTTTCGTCTGAACACTGGGCCAGGGTCAGTTGTTGTAAAACTCGCTGAAACCATTCAATCAATAACATAGCCAATTTTTTTTTTTTTTTTTTTTTTTTGTGTGTGTGTGTGGGGGGGGGGGGGGGGGGGGGGGGGAGGGGGTGGCCTGAGGTGGCTGGGATGTCTTTGACTTGGGGTTCGGAAAAGGGAAAAAAGGGTTTAACTCCATGTGTATATAATAGGGTCGGCTGGATTTCGGTGGGAGGGGGGCTAAAGACCCCATAAGCCCTCCCCCCCCCCCCCTCCCTTTACTACGCCCCCGCATACGATTACATTTACACTATTTTGTAAATGTAAACTGGTGAAACATCCTAATGGGGACTTGTTGCTGTCACTTCATGCAAGATCAATCTCGTGGAAAGTCAACAGTGGATGACGAAGATACTACAAACGGAAATGACCATTACCACTGAGGTAACGTTGTGAAAGTGATCGTATGTAAGCCTACAGAACTCATATTTTAGCTGCTGACGTCTGGTGTAAGAAGTTTGTTTTGTGCCGATGAGGACTTTCATTCCTTCCATAAAATCAACGCCTCATTAATATTACATTATAGAATTTAGAACCCTGTCAGCTCCAGAACTTCAACATGCACGAACAACTTTGTTTATAAAAGTGATGACTGCGTTACTAGAAGCACGAAACCACTAATGAAGAGACATAAAAAATAAATAAAAACAAGACACGTCGTGAAATAACGTCCACGTTTTTTTTTTTTTTTATTGAAATCTCTCAATGAATTTACATAATCGATTCTCGTTGACTAGTGTGCAGTCATGCCTCGTTATTTAGACCCTCGTTAATATGGATAGCCCGCTGTAATTAACACCATTTTCAGGGACAGACCTGGAAAATACATGCATTCTTGTCTTGTTATTATGGACCACTCACTTTGTGCACACAGCGTTTTTGGGGAACGGAGGTGTCCATGGGCGTACCAACCGGGAGAACAAATAAGTACTTGCCCCCCCCCCCCCCCCCCCCCCCCCCCGGCTCCCCAGCCACCACTGGGCACGGCAAACACTGGCCGGTGGCCGGCGGCGCCCAAGGGATACCAAGGGAAGCGCCCTGTGGCCCTGGGAGGAGGAGGGAGGTCTGGTTTGCCCCCCACTCAAAAACAAGTTGTTACACCACGGGAGGTGTCCATACGTAAGCGCCGATGTGTCCATATTAGCGAGAGGTTACTGTATATATTAATAGCTGCCAATTTTTACGTGCAGAATAAATATTCCAGGGGTTGCCGAACTAGACAAATTAAAGGTAAAATAAATCAGGGCCCTTCGTCAAGATTGATAAATTACTTAGCCAACCACTCTATGAACCGAAACAACATTTTGAAAATCCCGCCAATCTACATTTTACCTTCTGAATAGTTTTCGCGTTCCCCGCGAGAGGGCGACGTTTTAAAAATGCCGGCTCGCAGAACGTAACATTTTTCATCGAGACTATGGTATCGAGACTGCGCAGGCGAACGTTTCGTCGGTTTCGTCGTTAAAGCCCTGAACGTTTCGCGGGTGTAAAACAAACGGCGCTTCATTTGCATGTGCGAAGCATGAATCCTTACATGGCTGACTTGGGAATAAATCTAGATGCCGTGAATTCCGGCTTACGGGCTGTAAAAGCCCTCCGCAGTACCGTCGGGGAAGTGTTCCGTACGCTGGCCGATGGGGTGCCGTCGTCTCAGGGCGATGAAAACAAGGAAAAGAACTTCATCCTGGAGCTTCAAACCACTCTGGGAGGTGTCATTTCTCGAATAAGGTAAAACGATGCGTCTTTTTTGGAGCTTGACTATGAAAGCTTCAACGATGCTTGCGCGTCTTCGCAGGGAACTGGAAACTGCCGTCACTTTGCTTGGCTCTCCGGTGGCACCATTGAACCTCGGCAGCACCGGCCACCTTTGCCAGGACCCAACGTTGGACAGGACATCGCTTTACACTGACATGATCAAGTCGTACCGCTGGTTTGACAAGGTATGCTCGCCGTCGGATCATCATACGGTGGATCTAATGGTCATGCCCCGTGTATACATATCTTTTAGGTCCACGAGCACACGAGTCACGCTTCTGCAATTCTAAACCAGAACAGTCTGAAGAGGTCCAACAGTTCGCTGTTCCCAACGAAGCGATTGCGAAGACCCCTCACAAACGGACATAACTTCTCGCCACAGTGAGTAAAATTGCCACTTTGATACCTCGGATGTCGTGGATGGTAGGTTCAAATGGAATCCGAACACTGGCGGAACTTTGAGCCCACTACCGGCGGTGTTTTCAAGCTTGGGTTGTGCTGGGCAAGGTTCAAACACATCGGAGTAGGACGCACAACCTCGCAGCGCCATACTGCGATGTGTTTGAGCCTTGCCAAGCACAACCCAAACTTAGAAGCTGCGCCATTATACTCCGTTTCATGATAACTTGGCGAACTGTAGACGCTAGAGATACGCGACCCAAGAAGAGCGTTCGAGCGAGGCACGTGGCCCAACATCATCGGAGCATTTGTGTCACCACGCCAAATGCGAGGCACGAGGCTTGGAAGAACCGGCTGTCGTTTGCTCCGAAACCAACCAACTTTGGATGAACGTCCACCACAGCAACATATTCGTCCGCTAGAATAGCGAGCACTTTGGGAACAGTTTATGAGACAACCATACAATTTAGCCGCGAATGTGTGACAATTGCTAATGCCAGGGCGCAGTGCAATGTTTTGAGTGGAAGATGAACTCACTTTTTTGGAGTGAACTGCCCAAGATGGTCTCGTTCAAAATAGCCGCTGCTCGAACTTGACGAGCCGACCGACGCCTCAGCTGACTCAGCTTTCCGACAATTAGTCACTACTGTCATTGTTTAGCTGCAGAAATAACACAGGCCAGGCACAATGTCTGTATCACAGACCCCATGTCACAAATAACGAGGAAAATGTCCGCGTTCGCCACCGTCACATACCTTTCGGCCGCCTTGAAGCGGCGGGGTGCGAAGAATGATAGTTGTCGGTGAAGCTTGGATTGCTGGTAAGATTTTAATAAACATAAATAGGTAACAAACCGTCATTTGCATGGTCGTTTAATAAACATAAAGAGGTAACAAACCATCACTTGCACAGTCGTTGCCTAGCCCTTGCTTTATTGCACGACAAAACAACGGCGGCATGCAGTGTAAAAAGGTAAACAATCAGTTGCGGCAAAATCAACAGGTCTAACCTTCCGTCTGCTTGCTTCAGATTTTCTGTCATTATTTTTCTCATTCTTTCTCTCATGATCACGGATGTCAGCACTTACAATTTACTGCGCTGCAGTCCCGGCTCTGCACCTTTGATCTGCGCGAGGTAGGAGCATTCGAGCCGTCACAATCCCGCGTAAACAACCGGCGCATCCGAACAGATCCAACTCGAGTGCCTGGCCTGTCCGGCGATCTAGGCAGTGCGCATGCGCACCGCCGAGTTAAAGGAAAAGACGTACCGTGCTTCCGTAAACTTTTGCCAAGCTCTGTGAAATCCCATGAATCAAGTTCAGCGGAGTTGGAGGCACTCCACGGGGCGGGCGCTGCCACAAATCTAAGAGCGGAAGATGACCAACCTGTGCTATCTACCAAAGGAAGATGCACACTACAAAAGGGGTGCTTTTGGAGTGCTCCAAATCTGCGAGCGGAATTCACCATTGATTGTGGTGGACCGGAATTCTCCAGACATATTTTGTGGAAGTAGTTTCTGGAGGCATGCACAAACTGGACACGGTATATGTACAGGCGGTGGCAATATGAGTTAGCCCAAAATCCTCGCATAGGTCGCCCCTGGCACTCTAAGCTATGGGTCACACGAGGGTGTGCTGGTTCTGTTTATAATCCCTGCCATTGTGGTCAGCTCCGATATTGCTCTGCTTGGCTGGTAGTTAGTGCTGATGGGGCATCTGCAGATGTGCACATTCGTTTTGTGTTTTTGTTTCATCAGTGCTTGTTACTACCAGCCAGGGATGGGCAAAATACATGCAAATATGTATCGAAATACAAATACAAAATACTTCGTCAAAAATGTATTTAATTACAAATCTAATTACATTTGCAACAAAGCATTTAAATACAAGATACAAATACAACCAAATGTATTTGGTCTCCTCCAAATACTTTTCCAAATATGTACATTCCTCAAAATTTGCGTCAGCGACTTCAGGGCACCTGCAACGGGTTTCGGGGTATCTCATTTTAATTTTGCATCGCACACTCGGGAGTTAGTGTGCGAGTATCTAGTAACGCAATAGAAATATAATCACAAAAAATGTAATCAGCTTGGACGTAATAGGTGAAAAAAGTACAGAGCTTCAAACAGCTTTTTTTGTCGATTACATTTTGGTATAGACCATCAAAGAACCGAGACGACCAAGACGCGCAGCACTAGCTAGAGAGTTGTTTATTGTTGCAACTCGCACCAGTAACGAAAATCTGGATGACCCGCGCATTTAGAATGTTTCAGGCAAAAATATATGAAAATCAGCCTGGAAAGCATCACAAGTTGTCACAGGCACTTATTTAGCCAGTCTGCCTGTGAACGTCGATTTCGTCACTATTCTTGCCCTGGACTAGCACCGTAATCACAAAGTCACTAAACGCTTGTGCTTGATTGAGAGACACTGCATTCCGGTGCAGAACATAGTTTTCTTCCTGCTCTGGACAGTGACAATAAATTTGAGGGATGTATTTTCGCCCACAAAATTGTATTTAATTACAATTGTATTTGAAATACCCACATTTTAGTATTTAAATACACACGTGAAATACATTACCCAATTTGTAATTAAATACAAATGCAAAATACACAAAGTATTTAAAATACGTATTTCAAATACTTGTATTTGAAATACTGCCCATCCCTGCTACCAGCCAAATACATGGCAATGTTGAGAGCTAACCAGGGAAGTGTAAAGTCCCTCTGAACAAAAAAGTAACAACTTCCTTTGAAGAATGTCATCTGCTATTTTGGAACAATCTAAGCGTTGCCACGATATATGCACGAGTGAAAAAAAACTAAAAATAAGGCAAAAGACTGTGCCTTGGAGCAGGAAGAGGAGGAGGGAAGAATGCCCATACCACTAAGAGTGTAGCGGATGCTAGAAGCCAATAGCACCAAACAATCAATGCCAAAAGCCAAATGTCACGGCTTTCATTGCCTTTCTTTAAAAGTGTTCTTTGCGGCTAATACAATCGCTCATAGAAAGTGTACCGCCCTTAGTTTGTGGGAGTGAGCGTGCTTGTCTGTCATTTATCCCTCGAGTGCACCCTGATTTAAGTTGAAACCAACTTTAGGAATGCCACCTCCTACCTTAGAGACGATTGAAAAAGTGTGCGCACCAGTGAAGGAAAGAAACAATGTCGCCGTCTTTGTTGTCTAGAAACTTTAGGGAAGGGAAACATCCGATCAACGCCACGCACAGCCCCATTTGTGAAATCATGTCGGTTCGATCCAAGGTGCCCATGCTAAATTTATACCGCTCTGGCCAGAATTCTGTCGTGCTAACTCGTATTGCCGCCCCCGTACTACAGTGCCTGGAATGGCTCGCCAACTGTTGTGTCTGGCTTGCGACGGCGCCCACGTATCCAGAAAGGTCAGAAAGCGGTAACAAAATATGTAATAAAAGCCGGTGCGTCATGCTGTTGGTGGTCGTAATCCTGGTGATTGGTCGTAGAAGTGCTAGCAAAAAGTGAGTGGATGCAAGCGACACTGTCGTTGCAGCGTTCCACCTCGTGGTTATCATGGTCTTGACTGGCTACAGACAAAGTATGCTAGAATGGGTCTCTGTAATATTCCCTTCTGCTGCTTCGCGGCAGGTAACTGTGCGCCACATGTAGTGTTTCGAGGCAGAAATCGAAGGACCAAAAATGGGAGAGTAACCACTCGGTCAGACACACATTCCAAGCACCACACCTGCACTGGTTGGTCACTAAGTTTATAGCTGTGAAGTCTGTGTCCAGAAAGGACTGCTGCACAGTCCCGTTCTTTTCTAAAAACCTCGGCCTCAGCCTGACTTTTTAAGTTTGGCTTCTGATTTGTTGTGTCTATCATGGGCTTGCATTGAGCCGGGTCTGTGAGACGAGGTTTGTCTAGCTTGGTGAGTGTGAGTGCACTTGTTTTAACAACAATTTCTAAAAAAATTAACTACAGTAGAACCTCGATTTAACGAAACACGATTTTACAAACAAATTTGGATTCCCCATGCAGCTTATGCGTGAGGTCTCCCTTCCTCGATTTTATGAAGTTCCCGATTTAACGAAATAATTGGCGGGTCCCGGTGACTTCGTTAAATCGAGGTTGAGGTTCAACTGTATAAAAACATTGGAAGTTTTTATGCACCTGCAACCAAGTTGCAGTTGCCACGTCAGTGAGACTTTTCATTGTTTTTGCTGCTTGCCAAGATAATTGATTCTGTAGACATTAATATAATACTGAACATCATTGTGAACTGGGTAATATAATTGCAATTTGCAACTGATGGGTGTATTGCTTTCAATACAAGACTGTTAATTTGCAAGCTGGTCATATGTCACCTTAACCTTTTCGGTGGAAACTCTGTCTGCATTTCATCACTCAGGTTCTGTACAACCTTGTGGAAACCAAATTTGGAGCGAGCACTGTTTTCATAACATGAAGTTTTGTGCAACATAAGGTATTTACAGTTTACCAAAGCTGCTCACTGAAGCTCTTGCCTTCCATCAATGTTTTTGAGCTCAGTGTTGTACATGCATTCATAACCCTATAGACCTTTCCAGTGGCAGTTTTGAACGAAGCAATTTACGCCGCATTCCTGGGTTTGAGAATGTGCTTCAGTGTTGCCCAACTGTGCTGTGGTGTGGGTTTTCTCATTAGTGGGCTGTGGCAGCCTGCGTGGCACAGTTCTGGATGCTGGTGGTGGCTAAATTTCTGCGTTTTATTTTTTTATTTTTTGCTCTATGGCGAACAGAATTTCTTGAGGTTTTTAAGAGAGCATTGTACTATTTTGGGAACCAAAACAAACAAATGTAAGCTATTTTTGGCGAGTTTGTTCAAGCACGACAGAACAAATGCAACTTTAATGTTTGTTTCATTTTATGTTGATTTTTTTTTTTACGGCACCATACACTCAGCCGTGCCATTCTACAAAGGTTTAAAATGTAGAAAATATTTAACCACACAGGCTAGCCGAACTGCATGCGTATTTTGTGCTCACAACATGAAATTCAACGAGACTCATCATTCAAACAACATATATTGTACGTACCTGACGGTGCCGCATTATTCGAATTCGAACACCATTCGAACAGGATTTGAGAAAAGTCTCAAATAATGCAGCTTATTCAATGCACTGTGTCGATGATAGTGACTTCACGGCGATTAGATAGAATCCAACTTGTTTTGGGGCACGTTTTGAAGAGAGCTGCTCTTTTGTTCAGCACCAAAGCAAATAAACAAACATGTCTATTCCATCCCCACACCCCGAACCTGACCCTATCAGCTATTGTTTGCAAAGACCGGCAACAGAGCCGGGAAGGCTTTTGAGAGATTATCTCAACTGAAATAATCCTAGAAGAACGTCGAACGGCCGGCGTTATGGGTTGCTTGACGTTCGCTGTTTTTGTTTGTTTCCTGTGAAGGCTGAGCAGGGTACGAGCCCTGGTATTTCCTGGCTTTCACAGTGGAAGATAACGCAAAGAGAGTAAGCATTTTGAACAGGCAAATAAAGTAAAAACTTTCAAGAAAAGCCGGTGAACTTTGAATGCACAGTGCAGATGGGGAGCCGCGATGACTGGGTTTCCACAGCTCTGGCATGTGGCATCAGTTTCTGACTGAAAGCTCCTTTTTTCAGAGGTCTATACTATACGGAAAACCCTGGCAGAGTGTAATCTGATTTCTTGCTTCTCATTCATTATTTTGATAATGTCGAGACCGGTTATAATGAGGTCAACTGGAATCGGAAATCACTTTGCTATATCCAGTATTTCGTTATAGCCGACTTTAGTTAACGAAGTGCAAAAGAGAATGGGAAATCGTGATTGCTTCGCTGTAGCCGCTATTTCGTTATAACCGACCTTGTTATGACCGGTCTCGACAGTATTGACAGCCTTCTTGACTACTGCTTGAATTGAGTTTTCTTTTTATGTCTTTTTTAGGAATGTAGATGTCTTCATTAGCAGTGTCCAGAGGCAGTTTGTGGACATGTCTATTGATGTCTTGAGACCATGTGGAGGGTCTGCCGTTCTCAAGGTATTTTCAAATATCGTGTTCCACTTTTGTAAGGTTTGCTCTAAGACGTAAGATTAAAGAATCAAGCGCATTGATGAATACTTACAAAAACAAAACACATTGTTCAATCCTATCGAATTACCCGCATTTGCATACTACTTCCGTCCAGGGGCATTTTTTAAATGTAATCTTCACACCAACTTGAAAAACAAAAACTGTTTAGAAAGATAATTGCTGGATTGGAGCCTGCACTCTGTCTCTTTGTAGCATGGTTTGCAGCAAAGGCTATACGTGCAACTGCAGTTATTCAAGTGGAGATTGCATATTTTAAAGACATACTAAGAGGTAATATGAAGAAAAAAAATTTATAGGAGTGTATTAAAGAGAGAGATGATGCAGTGTTAGGGGGCATGAGCCCTAAATGTTTTGAGGCAGCAGCAGCTGCTAAGCCCTTACATTGCTTCTGTGTAAACGGCACCCATTGCTTGGCCTTCTGGCCGCATTAGTGGTTTAGCCCCATAGTTTAGACCAGGGGTGACCAAGCTGCGGTTCTCGCATGTTAAGGTGCGGCTCGCAACTTCCCCCGCCCCTCCCCCCCCACCCAGAATGCACTTTTAAACTGAAAGGCAGGTTGCGGTTTGGTAGTCCTGATCTACTGCAACCTTATGTACAGTTGGACTGTTTTTGACTTGGATAGATTAAAAGTAGTTTGAGTTTCGTTTATTGCTCTGGTCAAAAGTTTGCTCGCGGCACTTGAAAGTTTCGTGGTTTTGTTTGCGGCTCTTAGGCCAGGTCACCCTGGCCATTCCTGGTTTAGACTATATAGGAAAATACAGATATCTAATAGTCTGGCTGAAAGAGGGGAAAAAAAAAAATCTACTGGAACATGAGGAGAATATAATTAGAAAAAGGAAAAGAAATTAATCTATTATGAAGCTCAAAGCACTATGGAACTATAACAGATATGAAGTGGTCAGAGGTATTGGCCTCGAGATCGACCTAGAGGTGGCGCTACGGTCGCGCTATCATCATCATCCAAGCGGGGATAGGAGAACGGCCGCCCCATAGGCTCTCCACGTTCGCGCGCGAGACGGCGTAGATTTTTGCGTTTATTTGTTGCGTACTATCGGTGGTAAAACAATTCTAGCGGAAAAGGATGAGGTAGTGTTCGGTGCTTCAGTGAAGATTGAATCGTGTTGCCAGCGTGCGGCCTAAATTTATATAATCGCTTCTGTGGGTGCGTCATCTGCTCTAGGCTGAAGTTGGAAAACATGGATCACCACGACTGATGCTTGTCTCTGGCTGAACTGGAATATTTATGTTAAATATTTGTTTCTTTTAAAATGGGTGTGTTGGTTCATCAACGTGGGAATTAAAAAAAAAAAAATAATAAATTCCAACCCAGATAACATAATACTGGTATTGTGGGCTGTGAAATCGCAGCTTCTATGCTTTTTTTAACTTCTAGATTTTCCAGTAATATAATTATTTAGAATGAAGATAAGTTAGCGCTGCATTGGAAATTACCATGCTATTGAGTTCCTCTGCCCTTTTACTGTGCCATAGTGTGGGTAAGTTTTTTGGAGTCTGAACAAATCTACTGCGTTGCGATGAGGAGGATGTGTCTCTTCTAGTTAAAATCTGGGGGTTATGTTCAATAAATGTTTCGTTTCTCCTAAAAAGGAGCGGAAGTGACAGATGTTACCATATCGCGTCTGATTGGTTAGAGGCTCAAATGACGAAAGTTCCCTCTTTCGTCATTTGAGCTACTAACCAATTAGACGTGATATCGTCATTTCTGTCACTTACGTTGCTTTTTAGGAGAAACGAAACATTTGTCGAACATAGCCCCCCTGCAAACTGCACCGTTGGCAGGACAACTGAAACAAGTGAAACAAACTGTTCTAATATATCTGCCGTGACTGTAATAAACGAGTGTAACCGAGAAACGCAGCAATGTTCCTGTTATTAAATGTTTTTTTCGGTAGTGTGGGTTCACCTGCTTCAATTTTCTTGGTGAGGGCCGCGGATGTCGAGAGGCTAATACTATAAATTTCTGGCTAAATAATCTTGCATTCAAACACAGTAGACTCTGCAACCCCGACAAACGACGCGCACCACGACACAGCCAGCATCGGCAGCAGTGATACTTTTTTTACTGATGAAGACTAGCGACCTTTACGAGACTTTCCGACCACCCTCCGCCCTCACCTAACGTATATAAGGACTGGGCAGTTCATCAATTAACATTTAAATTATTCAAGTAACGCTATTACAATTTTTTTTTGCCGGTTAATTGGAGTCTTGTGCTGGAGAAAGTCAACAAGGAGAAAAAAAATGCCTGCTTTAATATTTTTGACGTCTTTATTTCTTTTGTGACACTGGCTTGCACGGTAAACCACTTCAGCGTGCTTGTCATTTCACCGAAGGGGATTATACTGTTTAAATAATAACTTAAAAAATACTTCACTTTAAAAGGCGTCCCGTGTTCATATTTCTGTAGGAGTCACAATGTGAAGTTTAGAATGGGAATGCAATATGCCATTTATGACATAGTGAAACCAGTAAAAAAAAAAGGTGGAATTTTAACGCCTTTCACGCAGTATTACCGGCGAAAAATCAACATATGGATTTATTGATTGATTAGTCTATTAAAGCATAGCGATAGTCGGGTTAATTTTTTAATCAAACCACAGACCCACTCAACATTCAATGCTTTATGGAAGCCACGGTTTGTGCGAGATATCAAAAATACGTGGGACCAGTGATTGCATACAAACCAACGCACTAAGATTATGGAAGCTTCCGACTTAATAATAATCGCTTTGCTGAATTTCTACGCATGGGACACGATACAATACAACCTTTAGTAAGAAGAAACGGCAACAAAAACATAAAACATTTAATAAGGAATGTCAAGCTCAGCCTGAAACGGGCTTGCGTCGTCGAGATTCATGCTCTGAGCGTGCGCCCGTAGCAGACGACGTACGGCGGTATCCCCGCTTTCGCGCGTTTCCGATTTCAGCCACACGGTGGCGACACGGTTCGATCTCGAGGCGAATATGGAAAAGAGTGATGGCACCTGGAGTGTCTTTTGGCAATGGGGTACCGTGCATGAAATCAGAGGTTCAATCAGGATTAGAAATTTGACAAAGAAGTTTGGGCAGATTGGCACTAGGAGAACATGGAAGCAAAGGTTGACCGAAATGGTTGATATGGAGTGGGCACGAAAGTTGTTCAAGTATTTATACCAGGGGCGGCCACACTGCAGCTCACGAGCCACGTGCGGCTCTTTGTGTGTTCAATTGCGGCTCGCGGCTCCCTGGTAAGCGTGCCCTCCTTCCCCTCCACAGTCTTGGCGGCCTTTTATTACACTACATACATGCAGCTGGACAGCTTTTCGACACAAAGGTGTGTCCAGGGGCCTTGTTTCCTTTATTGTTCTAGAAAGAATTTCGAACCATATGCACATAACGGGCGTCGGAGGCGGTGGCTGGCTAGTGAACCATGCATTTGTTTTTGCTTAGCGGTTGAAGAAACATTCTCCTGCCTGGTGTTATTTGCTGTAGTCGACAATCATACTTATCTCATTTGGGAAGGACTGTTCCCTCCATATCGTATCTTGGTAAAAGTAGCACCCCCTCTTCTTTTGTTTTTCTGCGGCTCTCTGAAATTTTGTGGTTTTGTCTGCGGCTCTAACTGCATGTCACTCTGGCCACCCCTGATTTATACATTAAAAGTTTAAACACAAAATGGGAAAATTGAACCCAAAACCTTACATTTAAGTTCCTACACACTGGTGATTTGGCTGGGCAGAATACTTCAGTGGAAAAGGGAGTGAAAGAGGCAGAAAGAAAAATGTGGGAAGAATGCAGGAAAAATCAGCTTTAACAGTGTACAGGACACAAAAACAGGACATAAGAAAGGAAAATATGTTTGACAATTCACGGGGAATTTCTTTACTGTTTGAGGCGAGAACGGGGGCTTTGAAGACGAGGACGTATGGGTAAATTTCAAGAGACAGACACATTGTGTGCTACCTGCCATAATCAGAGTGACACACTAGAGCATTTGGTATTGAAATGCACGGCGTTTCGCTTTGCCCTCCCTGAAGGAGTAACAGATTTGGCTGGGGCCCTGGGTTTCACTGGTGATGATGGAAGGATAAAAGAGGAAAGGATTAAAGTCACAAAGAAGCGATTAGAAGATTAGTGGAAATTATCGAGGAAAAATTGAGTGATGCACAACTTATTAGCACAGCTGGGGACAGGTGAGACAGGAAAATTGGGACACACTCCAGCGTGGCTGCGGCCCAAAGTCTCAACCCTGTCTCCCAGTGGGCCCGGTGCTAAGGCTTGACCAGAAGAACATTGGCGACATCAGTGAAAAGAGGTGGGGCGTGATGTTTTCTTTTTTTTTTTTTTTTGTTTGATTCTTTGAAGGTCATCCTGGTGATATCCTACACTGCCTGGTGATAGTTAAGGGGAGAAAATTGGCTTAGAAGGGTGGGAGGAATCACATGTTTGTCTTTCTAGACTTAGGCTCGGTGGCGCAAGCTACCGCCCGCTACAAAGGGCAGTGATGTAATTGCTGTGCCAAACTGCACCAAGGGGCTAACCATGCTACACCCTGCTACATTTTTTCCAAAATATGGCTAATCTGCACCAAGCCTGCGCCAAAGGAACAATTTCGGTCGCCTTTCAAAACCGAAACTAAACTGAGTACCGTAATGAGCACACGTGAGCTAGGTGGCGCAAGTGGCCGCCCGACACAAAGTACCCTGCATCAATCGTTCATCCGGTGTTGCATGGTTTTTTCCATTTTTCCCGCTGTCTCTCGTTTCAGGCTCTTGTCGTCTCGCGTCTTTTTTAAAAAATTTCAACGATAGACACGGGTAAAGTGTACCTTAAAGGGCTGTTTATACTCCAACGTTGAGCGCAGTGATTGTAGTGCAGGACGCGCGCCTTTCATTGGCCGGCAACTAGGAACTCGATATCTGTGACCAATCAGTATCTCTGCGCGCTGCGCTACGCCACGCCCGTTGACATTACGTTGGAGTATAAACATACCTTAACACGGGTATGTGCGGATGCTCTGACGCTAGCATGCCGGGTACCAGCCATGCCAACATGCTGTCAAACCAGACCTTGTTTTTGCACGGAGGGAGTTACTTTGTGAGCTGAAGCACTTGCTCCTGGAAGCAATGGTTGTGGGAAAACTATATTTGGTCCCTGCCTGCCAGTCACCGGGGTCGCGTGGAGTCGGGTGTTGCCATCCCCACGTCGCTGCAGATATGGCGCTTTCTAAACTGAAACGTAAGGATCGCCCTAATGTTCATCAGCATTCCTGTTCGTGTTTAGTACGCTACTACAAACATCCCTCTAGCTCAAAGACTGCTGTGTCGAAGTACTGATTACCTAGGTTTCTCTTGGTAGGCTTTCTTTCGATAGGGACCTTGGTATGTGAAAAATCTGCCGCGAAAGAGAGTTGATGAAGAGAAGTGAGCTAAAGCAAAGAAGGCAATGTCTGCTTGCTGAACCCGCACAGCGTGCTTGTTTGTCTCGAGTTCAGTCGTTGCACAAAGCGCTCCAAGAACTTTTGACCATGGCTCGCGATGTCTTGCATCGATGGGCTCAGGTTCTTTTTTTTTTTTCTGTGTTCAGTGTGTACCTCGCTAGCTGGTCTGGCAAGCACATGCGCCTAGACTGTTTTTTGTCGTATGCTGTACAGTTACATTTTGTGTACAATTTTGGGAACCAGTTGGCAATGGAGCGCAGTGGCATGGTTTCGATTGAACAGCCGTCTTCGCTCGCACGACCATTTCGCAGTGCACTGCAGTGGTCACGTGTTTCATCAGTTGAAGACTGCTTCCATTCAATATATAACTAGTTAACCTAATGCTGGGAAAGTTACTGGTAAGCTGGTCACTTCTAAAGAAATTTTAACACGTGCAGCTTGCTTCTTATTTACGTGTTTCATGAAAGGTAGACAAATTCAATATTGCGAAAACTACGCATCGCATAAAAAAAAAGGCTTCTGTCGTTTTGATCCTGGGCCAGGGGCCTATTTAAAAAAATTATTAACGTCCGGGATAATTAAGTTGTTAACTACTTTTGCGTAATTAACTTTTTTAATATTGTGTTTAAGGGCATTGTTGCAACTAGAAAATAGCTCAGCATCATCGAAAAACACTACATCAACAAATTGCAGAACGATAAAAGGCACACGAAGCATCTTACGGCTTTCTGAAAAAACGCACAAATTCAACGGGTTTTTAAGTTTCGGTTTGCTATCAGAGTGCATCTCGGCCCCGACGACACCGCGCCCCGTAGAGGAATAGTGCAACCAGCCTATGCTGAGTCGTGCAATGACAGCGCAGCAAAGGTTAGTTGCTCTATTTCTCCATGAGGCGCAGTGCCGCCAGGGCCAAGATGCGCTCCGATAGCAAATTGAAACTTAAAAACCCGTTGAATTTGTCTGTTTTTTCAGAAGGGCGTAAAATACTTTGCGTGCCTTCTATCGTTCTGCAATTTGTTGATTTATTGTTTTTTTTTGATGATGCTGAGCAATTTTCTAATTGAAACCAAGCCCTTAAGCACAATATTAAAAAAGGTAATTACGCAAAAATAATTAACAACTTAATTATCCCGGATTCAGTAATTTTCCTAAATAGGCCCTTGGCCCAGGACCAAAATGACAAAAGCCTTTTTTTGTTGCGACACATAGTTTTCGCAATATCCAAGTTGTCCACCTTTCGTGAAACACCCTGCATATGTATAATTTAACTGAAGCACTGCAAAAGGTGTCATGTTATTGGCATTTCAGTTACATGTTGAAAGACTCCCAGGTGGTCTAACATGACTACAAGTTATTTATTGCTGCGAGCAAAGTGTCCTTCGTTTGTCTAGCACTTGAAAGGAATATCTTAAATTTTTCTAAGAATATCTGCTCCAAAAGCCACGTTTGCTGCTCTGAAGCACTGTTTTAGCTGCTCCAAAAGCCACTTTTGCTGCTTCAAAACGGCTTAGGCCAATCACATCACTGAAAGGGTATAGCCAGTAACATCCATCCACCCATCCATCCGTCACGAGCAAAAAAAAAAAAAGCCGCCAAATTACTTAAGACTTTTGTGCAAGGCTTTAAAAATATTAGGCACTGGAGCAAACCAGCCCTGAGCACATGCTGCCACCTCACTTTTGATTGGCCGCTGTAGTGTGACATGATATTCCGGAGAAGCTAAGGTGTAATTGAAATAGGGGTGGGCCAATGACACCAGAGAAATTGTATTCATTCACACTCTCTTTTCCCTCATAGATCACGCTGAGTCGCACCTTGAGAGCATTGGTGTCTCTCCGTGGTCTCATCATCGAATGGGTCATTGTCAAGGGCTTCAACGAAGACTTCTACACGGACGACGACCAGGTAGGTTATGGACGCCATCGAACTGCGTTATCATCACAAATCCTCCTCAGGAAGGACACAGCACAAAGTATGCATTCGCATTGTTTAGCTTTGAAATATGTTCTACTCGTGTGAAAGCACATTCACACTTGCGATTCGAAGCAGTCGCACAGCCGGCTATTTACGTGCGACCAGCGACCACCGATGTTCATACCAACATACTTAGATCTATCGGGTGACAAGCTCCTCAGTAGAGCATTGTTTGAAAACGGTTCTTCTCTGTTGCTTGCACGTGAGCAAGTGTGGGCAGATAGCGTTCCCGGTGCCACTAGCAGTGCTGCTCCCACGGGGCGACTGAGAAGGGCCATTCTCAAACGATGCTGTTTTCGTGCAAACTTTGTGTTTGCCAAACAGCAATAGAATCGCTTTCCACTGCAGGCAGTCTGCATCCAATGTTCCACTGGTTCCTTCGCTTCTGTCCATACTGCGGGCTGATAGCATAGCGAGCACCACTGAGCGAATGCAACGCAGAGTGGTACCAGGCGTTCTAGAAAGCCTGTCAACTGACTGATTTAGTAACGTTTGTCCACACCACATGCGTTCGGTGAGTGGCGACCACCAAGTCGCTTCTTGAAATTTCTCCGGAGCCGTCGCCGATTCTGCCCTTTCTGCCACAGCGCAGGTTTGTGTTTTTTCTGCTTTTCTATTTTAGTTTGAGTATGGGGGAGCTTATCTTGGCCCTGAAGCAATGCAAAGCCAAGAGCGCACCAGGCCCAGACGGCATTACCTACTGCTCTCCTTAGGAACCTGCCAGACAAACATTCAGATGAGCTCTTAACATGGATCAACCAAATCTGGACCACAGGTCAAGTTCCAGAAGAGTGGAAGACGTCCTGGGTCATCCCGATTTCTAAACCAGGCAAGCCTACAACGTTGCTTGCTAACATGAGACCCATTTCACTCACCTTGAATTTATGCAAGCTCACAGAAAGAATGGCATTATACAGAATTCAGCACATTCTAGAGAACCATGGCACATTCCACTACACGCCAACAGGCTTCAAAAGACACCTCGGGACTCAAGATAGTCTTTTGATGATCTACACAGATGTGTTGGAAACACCTTCCAAAGTTGATCCACGAATCGTTGTAGTAGTGGGTGTCAAAAAAGCGTTTGACTCCGTATCACACAAGTCAATAATCGACAGTGCAGTCGCCCATGGTATCCGAGGAGCACCACTCAACTTCATCAAACCCTTCTTGGAGGGACGGAAGTTTACAGTCAAAGTGGGAAACACCGCAGGTCCAGAAACACCGAACGGTGTCGGAGTCCCTCAAGGCGCAGTCGTTTCACCTATGCTGTTCAACCTAGTCATGGCTGATATCCTGCCTTGCCTGGCAAGGATCCAAGGCCTCTGCTTTACTATCTATGCAGATGATATCATAATCCGGACCAAAGGCGGAGCGGTCGAAGGACAAGAAGAGGTACTACAGGAGGCACTGGACACCATCGTAGGGTTTCTGGATTCCATAGGCATGTCTGCAGCACCAAATAAAACCTCATACATTCTGGTGGGTGACCGACGCATCCAATCTCAGACAGAAACACAGAACATACGCCTGACCATGACGGGAGATGAGATGCAGAGAGTTGAAAGTTTGAGGATTCTCGGACTATTCCTCGATCAAGACGGAAGGCCCCATACCTGGATGAAGAGGGTATCGAAAACCTGGAAGAGCACGCTGCACTTAATCAGAAGAGTGGCCACGAAGAAATGGGGAGCCACAGAAAGGGTAACACGTACCCTAGCCCTGGCGCTTCTGACTTCGAAAGCACTCTATGCATATAATTACAATAGACTTACACAAACACAAGTCCTAAAACTTGAAAGGCTCAACAGGGGAGCTATGAGAACAATTAGCGGACTTCCACGATTCGCAAAAATCGAAGACCTGTACATACACTCTAAGCTCAATACTCTCAAGGAGCGGGCAGACGGACTCAAGACCACAGAAGTGGGAAGAGCCATATTGCGACATATTGGTTACGCAACGAATCACCTTTTGACGCTCCCAAACCGAAGCCTCGAAGATACAGCCATGCAACTTACTACATTTGCCCCACTGGCTCGCAACATGAGGAAGGACCACAAAAAGCGGCGGTTCCAACGAGTCTTAGATCACATCGACTTTGTTCGAGAGCATAGCAGAGATTTCACCAACCTGTACGTATACACAAATGCTGCACTGCGAGGAGACAAACAAGGAGCCATTGGATGATTCATGTTAAACTCCCAGATGACATGCAGCCAAGTACTTAAGGGTCAATGTAGCCTCAAGGAAGCCGAGCTACGAGCTATACTGGCAGGAGCCAAACAAGCGGCCACACACTGCAACAAGACGGAAGCCCTCTGCAAACACTTGTGGGTAATCACTGATAGTAGGGAGGCACACGCAGAATGTGACAAGGTTGACACCTATAGCAACACCGTCCGACAACTGCGAGAATTAGGCCAACAATTTGCAGATGAAGGACGCGTCCTTCGAATTGGGCATATATGGCAACGAAGATGCCGACAATGCTGCCAGAACGGCGCTTGAAGCTGCGCCTGTGAGACCAGACCAGGAGCAACAGGAACAAAGTCAAGAAGGCGAACATGATGTCCTTCCCTTCGATCCCGACGAGTCCCTGTCCCTGGGAAGGACGAGGAGGCGCAAGGCATTGACAGATCTGGTCCCCCAAGATCCGGACGGCAAACTACCTGCCGAATACAGCCGGAGCGACCGCGTTATCCTGCGCCGGATCCGCACCAACACGGCAATAACGCATGCCCTGCAGGTTAAGCTGGACAGAGCCAGGTAAGCCTGACATCCCGATGGCCCCGGCCCGGTTATTGACGGTGACTGCACTCGATGCGGGAGCAAGAGTCCAGCAACTATAATACATCCATGGGAATGCAGAGCCACTGTACGCTCAAGGCAGGCCACCATATACGAATCCCTGCTTGTCATTGACCCAAAGCTTTCGTAGAGTGGACTCGACCAGGGGGCGACATACAGCACAGGAAGATTGTGCTGGACTCTCTGCTTAAGTTCATTCGAGAAGCCGGTATCCGGCACTATTTTCAATATTTCATCCTCATCATACTCCCCATCTCTCACCCCTCATCTTCCCCACAAATGACGTAAGGTCAAGGTGGTGGAAAAATCATTAAAAAAAAACAACCACATTTCCACGTGGTGAATGATGTTGATTGGGGCGAAGCTCTGGTGGTGCTTGTCTGCATAGACGCTGAGCCGCAGCATGCCGAGCCTTTCGTTCGTTTACATCCATGTCACGCTGCGGTCAAATGCTCAAATGCGTATATAACCACGTTCCATACCACACATTCTCTTTCTGACATGGATGAAAAGGAACGCAAGGCTCGACATGCTGCGGCTCACCGTCTACGCAGACAAGCATCACTAGAGCCTTGCCCCAATCAACATCATTCACCACGTGGAGATACAGTTTTTTTTTTTTTTTGCCCTACACGAGCACAGGAGCACGTGCTCACGTGCTCATGAGCACGAGCACTTGACGCCGGACATCGGACGGACGTACAGACATGGCTAGCCCCTAAGGAGCTTCGCCCCTAATACAACTTAAACAAAACAAACAAATCAATTTTAGTTGCCTGCAGCTACACATTCGTCACTTTCACCATAAAAGAAAATCTCATGTTTTGGCCCGGGTCCTTCGGAATAGTACAACGAAAGAACAACCGCTACATTGACGTGCACTCGCTGAAGCTTGCACTTGTGGGATTCCACTTTCCTGAATGCATAGCGAAGTAAATCCCACTCCGTACCTCGCTGTTGAGGACTGTTACGGCCGGGTCCATCCTAAGAGTGCTGTAGGCTCCGATGGAGAGGAATCACTCCGCAACACGGTGATTCCGAAGACGGGGTTTTTTATTGGCGTATACGGGACCACGCTTTGCCCGTCAGCCAACAAGGATGGAAAAAGACTAGAAGGTTGGCGCTGTTGTATCGGATAGATTCACTTGGACAGGCCCACTCTACCGTCCTGGGTAGATTTGTAGGAAGGGGGAAGCTGCAAAAACAGAGTAGAGGCTCCGATGATCAGAGCCTCAGCCAGCCAGTCCCTCTGGCTCCCGCGCCCCCCCCCCCCCCCCCTCCCTCTTTTGGGGGTTTGAGGGTCAGCTTATAAATCCTGTGGAAATGAACGCGCCCGGGGCGGCCGGTTGTAGTTTCGCCCGGATAAGGGTCGCATCCACGATCATTCTCAAGACTGTGCCAGTAGCCGATTCACCGAAAAGAGCGAAGAAAACTCCGCCCTCTTCAAGGAATCCGGCCTCGCCTCGTATCCGGAAAGCCGGTGCCATGGCGGTCCCCACGGTCTGCGTGTGCTAGGCCTATATAGTGAAATGGGGAACACGCGATTCCCACACACATTACAGTATGCACCTGTCAAATCAAAATTGGCCCTGATTTGCTGCCAGGCCAAGTCGTTATTGAGGTGCTCATTCAGATTCGGTTTCTGCTTGTTGTAAAGAAATATATACTTTTTAACCACATTTATAGAGCCATTGCGGAGACCTCTGTGGCCACTGCTGTGGATCGAGGCTTTGGGTGGACATGTTGGTTTTATTTCCTGAAGAAATGCTGGAATGCCGGTTGTATACAAATGTGAAGCGCATCACATCCCTTCTGAGGCGCTGCGGATTAGCTCATCTGTCGATGACTTGACGGCCTTTGAAAAATCGGTCTGCGAGCGACTGCTCTAAACTGGTCGCTTTCGCGACTGTGACTGTTGCTCGGCGACCAGAAAGCTGTTGTGCGATTGCTGAGACTCACAGGTGTGAACATGCCTTAAATGTTTAGCTGTAAACCACATTACACAAATTTAATGCCCAGTTTTTCGTTTTTTTTTAGCTTAATAGCAATTTTTGTGGAAGTGTCACATTGTTCACTGTTTTGAACAGTTGTGCGTGCAGTCTATACAAGTGTGAGACAAT